TTCTTTTTTGCAGTTTTTGGCCGGGGCTGGGTTTGAACCTGCCACCTCCAGCATATGGGGCCGGCGCCCTACCCCTTTGAGCTACAGGCACTGCCCAGGAAGAATTCTTTTGTAATGGAAATAATCACTCTTTTGGAAATGACTGACCTAGAAAATGTTACATCTTAAGGCAAGAAAATATTGCCTTTGTAAATATTTTTATAATGTCAGTCAACTTAACAAATTAATAGATTCATAGTAAATGGATGCAAATAAAAAATATTACTTGATGAGAAAGAGAAAGAAAGTTCTTTGGACCTTATTATAACAGTATGGAAAACTTGGCTTCTTTTTAAAAAGATGATGCCATTTTGAGATTTAATAAACATATTGTTAATTTTTGAGACGCAATAATTACCCTTTAGTTGAATAAAAACATAGACAAACCAAAATATAAAAAAGAAACACTAACTATAAATCACCTGAACATTTATCTTTTTTCTTCCAGAAAAGAGGAGGAAAAAAAGCCATTTTCTCAGGACTACTTCAAGGCCCTCCTAAACTTAACACACACACGTGGACGGCAGGACTCATGGTAGCAATGGCAATTTTATGATAACGCTACCATAAGTAAGTGTTAAACAGGGTTTTACCCTAAAAAGTTCTAAACTAGTTTAGTCATTTTTTAATTTTTTAAGACATTGCTTTTGCTGTTTAACCCAATTTTAAGGCAAATGTCAACTGGCATGTATGTCTTAAGTACCCTCCCATAGTCAGACCTGTTCTTGTTAGGAAGATGTGTCCTTCAAAACGTTCAAGTTCCTTCTCTTACAATAGAGAGGTTTTTCCTATACGTAATGCCCTGAAATTCTATTTGGTCACTCATCCCTTTTATGAAAGGCCACAAAGAAAGCATCTTGCTAAAGTAGTAGCTATTGAACTGACCTGAAACTAATCAAACTCAAGCACTGAATTTATAAGCCAACCTCCTGATTATGAGCAACTTTTTTTTTTTCTAGTTTTTGGCTGGGGCCAGGTTTCAACCCACCACCTCTGGTATATGGGGCCAGTGCCCTACTCCTTTGAGCCACAGGCAACACCCGATGAGCAACTTTTTTAAAAAACAGATGAAATGGCTCGGCGCCTGTGGATCAAGTGGCTAAGGCGCCAGCCACATACACCTAAGGTGGCGGGTTCGAATCCCCAGCCCGGGCCCACCAAACAACAATTAAAAAACAAACAATATTCCATACGTCAGTAAG